GGAAATATTTTGCATTCGGAGAACAAGAAAAATAGGTATATTTGCATTATGCTTATTAATTTGTGCAGTTATTCAGTGTCTGCTAAGTTAATGTTCAAGAAAAGATATTAATTTTTATTAAAATGTTCTGTTATTTTATGTTAACGATTACTCATTTATTTCAGCCCTTTGTATTCAGCATGTCTCTATCGAAATAAACCTACGTTTCTATGAAAATTGAAGCTTTTGTTTTTTTGCAGCCCGCATAAACTTAAACCTTGTTTATTTGGCCCATGTTAGCCTTTGAGTTTGACATGTTTGCTGTATGTGTTGTTCAAGCCTTCATCTCTTGTCTAGACGATAATAATTACAACCCACTAACTAGTCTTTAGGTCTCCAAACTCTCTTCTTTCTCATCTAAACTAACACACTAAGACAAATTTCACTTGGTTGACTTCCTTGACATCCTTCAGTGGCTCCTATAGAAGAAAATCCTACCTCTAACATGGATCTTAGGCACAGCCTGCTTCCTCTGCAAGAAAGTCTCTTCAAGTCATCCTCAATTCTCCTGACAAACTTCTATTCATTTTTATAAATGTTCTGTTTCCTCTATGCTACCATATACATACATAACTTTACCATTTAATTATAATACCTGTCCATCATCTCCTACACTAAACTGTGTCTCCATTCATCACCAGAGGCTATTCTGTTACCTTGGCATACAGAATAAATATTTGTTGAGTAAAATGCCATTCAGATGTCTAGACAGCACACCTGCAACTACAAATTACATATCTCTATAAGTCTATCTACAGAGGTTAATAGCCAAATGTCCACAAAAGTGTAAGAAAAATAAAGGCCAGCTTGCCCTGTCAAGACATATTACAGAAGGCTATCAACAGTATTTTTTTATATAACACTTAACAGTTAAAAATGTGATTACAATGGTCTACAACTTATAGTGTGACAGTTTAAAGGGGAAGTAAACAGCATTCATTCTCTTTAGGGATTTGAGACTGGCACTTACATAAACGTTACAATGTCTTTCTCTTACAGTTTCATCAATGCCACTCTGTGTAATACATATCAAAAAAAATGGCAAGACAAGATCCCCAGTAAGATTCCAGAATGCAGCCAGTCGATCAATAGCATCGGGATGCTCGCTGCAGCACAACTCCCACTAACCCGGAAGGCAAGATGCCGAATAACCACCACAGATGCTGCAAACAGTGTGTATTTTAAGACCTGAATATATTAACTGATCCGTTGTAAAACAATCTACCAATATGAAAACTGGCAGGGCCTGATCAAGTAAAGGGCAAATTTATTTATGATGTAATAAAAATCAGTTAATTTCATTCAATTCAACAGTCAATATTGAACACATTTTCGAACCACAAATTTAAAGAAATAATAATTTCACTGAGTTCAATTTAAAATACTGGAAAATAGAAATTTTGGGTGCACTGAGTTAATAATTCTCAAGAGATCACGGCACAGTATGATCGATCAATCAATGCAAGATTCTTCCTTCCTTTCCGTCCTTGCTCCCTACATCCATCCATTCTTTGCCTTTTATCCTCATACCTTAGTCCCCTTGTCCCCACCCCCCAACACATTCAGACGGAACCATTCTCTTCTGTTTCATGTTTGGACAATGAGCACATGTGACATTTGCAACATCTGAGCAGAAGCTGTAAAACCCATTGTGTTTCTGGCCACTCTTCTCTTTGCCTCTGCCTAGAATGACAGGACCCAGAAAAGAGCTGCTCTTCAGAATGAGATGACTTGTGAGGAGCCACAGTCAACTGTCAGCCACTAACATAACATGCGCAGGAAATAAACCTTTGTTGTTCTGTATGCTCCTGAGATTTGGTGATTATCGTCATAGAAAACTGACTAACATAGAAAGGAAAGTTAAACTGAATAATTACACCTGAGTGAGACTTGGAAGGTCACAGCGAGGAAAGGATATACTGCAGCTGCTGTTGGTTCTGGAAAGTAAGGTTAGAGGTATGAGAGTTTGTAGCTGCCAAACCCCAAGTTCCAGGTCTCGTCTCCAACCTCAGGGGTGAGTTAGGGCCATCAGTATAGGGAGGGACAAGTAAACCCCCTTAGATGTGCCCCCTCCTACCAAATAATAAACCTAAAGTATATCCCTGAGGAAACTGCAGAGGAACCATCTTCCCAAGACTTGAAAGATACAGGGGTGGTGCCTATATGGCATTCTGATTTCACTAGCCTATTTGGCCAGTGCAGGGGAGACAGATCTTGAAGGATGTATAGTGAATCCAATCAGGTGACTACAATTATAGCTGCCGTTCCAGGTATGATCTCTTTACAGAAACAAAACACAGTAACTGGCATCTAGTAAGCCTCGACCAAACTAACATATGATTTTTTAAAAATCTATTCCAAAACAGACCACCAGAAGCTGTTTTCACCTACCAGCTCAAAAGTACACTTTCACCATCATAGCTCACAGCTACACCGACACTCCAGCGATCTTTCATGACCTAGTCCACAGTGACTCTGGCCAATTTTACAGTTGTTCCTTTCGCATTTAGATCTTTAATTTATCCAGAGTTCATCCTGTTTGTGGTGGTAGGTTTGTTCTTCACGTAGTGAACCACTCTCCCTAACAACATCACTCCTTTCTCCAGTGACTTACGATGCCACCTTTAAGTTCTGAACATATATATACAGGAAGTCTCCACTGTTCCCCCGTCCATTTTTTTGTTGTTGTTTTGTTCTTACACTAGTTTTTATTACTACCACTTTGAAAGAGTATTTTAAATTCTGCTAGGCAAGTCCAATTAAAGCACACCTTTAAGACTGATTTAGCTATTCACAAGCTTTATCCTGCCTGCCATATAAATTTTAGATTTGGAGGACTGAGTCTGTCAGATAAACCAACTGGAATTTTGACAGCACTTTAAATTTATATGTTAAGAATGGAGAAAACTGACATTCTTATAAGTAATCTTATCCCAAGAATTTGTAAAGTTTTTCTATTTATTTAGGTCCTGTTCTAGTTCCTTATTAAAGTTTCTCCTTAAAAGTTTTATGTATTCTTGGGTTACTTCCTAGAGACTTTATAATTTTGTTCCTAATATTTTATACAATATTTACCTTTGATTGCTAGTGTAGTAAATGCTATTAACTTTTGTAGACTAATCTTTAATCCACCAACCCTGCTAAACTCCTAATAGTTCCTCTCTTGATTTTAACTCTTCTGGGTGATATTATCCGCAAATAATGAGTTTCATTATTTCCCTTCCTATCCTTATACCTATTTTCCCTTTATAATAGTGTTAACCAGGACCTTTCTTATCATGTTAAACAGTAATAGTGATGGAGGTATCCTTATTACCCACCTTGAAGCGAATGTATCTAAAATTTCTCTATTAAGTATTATTTGTTGTAGCTTTTTGGTAATGACATTTACACAGTTATCTTGTATTTTGAGCTCGATCTTATTAAATAATTTTATGGTATCAAGATAATCATGATTTTTCTTTTGGCCTATTAATGAGGTAAATTACATTAATAGATAAATGTTAAACCATGCTTACATTTCTAAAACAAACTCTATAAATCATTATTTTTTTAACACACTGTTGGACCTCAACAGTGTTGAAAGCTAGTATATTGTGTAGGATTTTCATATCTTTGCTAATAAGTGCAACAGATCTCTAATTTTCTGATACTATCCCTACCTAATTTTAGAACCAAGATTTCACTAACCTCATAAAATGAACTTGGCATCTCTCTTTTTTTTTCTATTTCCCAAAACAACTTGTAAAAATGAATTAAGTATTAGTATCTAAAAGTTCAATGCAACTCACTTATAACATTATCTGGGTCCAGAGTTTTTGAAAGGGGAGGTCTTTAACTACCATTTCAGATTGTTAAATATTTATTAAGCAGTTCAAGCTATCTTTTTCTTCTGTTACCAACTTTCAGAGTTTATAGTTTTCTAAGTATTTATACATTTCATCTAGGCTTTCAAATTTATTAACCTATAGAAATTCATAAAATTAGGTTTTAAATCTGTTTGTAGTTATTTCCACTTTCACTTACTTTATTTGCAATCTATTTTCCTTGATCAATCTTGTTAAACACAGGTCTGTCTAAGCTTATTAATCTTCAAAGAACAATCTTTTGGTTTAGCAAGTCATTTGTTCCTTAATTTCACTAATTTCTGCTTTTTTATGTTGTTTTCTGAACTCTTCACAGAACTGTGTTCGCACTAAAGCAAGCTTCCTCCAGCATGTAGGTAAGTCACCCTGCCACTCTGTCCAAGGTCTACTTTCACCACACAGATTTCAACACACAAACTGTACATACAACTATTCCTCTCGTGCATGCACAACAGAGAAACATCAAATACAGATCTTACCAACCATACCTACACATGAATGCGAGGTAAGGTTATGAGCTGTTCCCATACACACACACACACACAAAAGTGTAAGGCAGTGATCATCTAGCTGAATCAAGGTAATCCTTGTCTGCAATGCTACCTGGACAATTCCTGGTGCAGTTTGACAAAATTAGTAACTAGAAACGCAATCTCCAGTTGCTTTACCAGATGCCATTCAAAAACTGCAGTTATTAATAGAAGAGAAAAACCTGCCTGTGATGGTCAATTTTCACATTGACCCGCTCAAAGCAAAAACACTCCCCCCCCCAACTCTGTAAGCATACCTCCCGACTGGGGCAGTTTCGGATTCCAGACTTTGGTCTTAACATTCCCTGCCTGCAACAGCACGGGAAGGCACATCGCTACAACGGAAGTCCAACACGAAACCCAAGTTTGGATCTGGACACATGCTGCGCGGCTTC